CTGATTTTCTCTTCTGAAGTTGTTAATGCTTGTATGTTGAATGATACCTTGGCTTGAGACTTCAATTTATAATGGAGGGAGATATACATGCTGTAGCATTAATTTGCCGTTATAATAATTGAATATCTGCATGCACGGGGTTTCACCTCAGCAGCCCATGTGAAAAATACCAAATGTCTTGGTAAGATTGCGAAGAAGAGCTGGACTTGGTGGCACCATTCTTGTCTGAAAACAGAAACCAAAAGAGCAGCATAAAATGTGCAAAGCACCTCAGCAGCCCATGTGAAAATTATCAAATGTCTTGGTAAGATTGGCAACTACCATTGCTCAAGATGAGCTGGACTTGGTGACACCATTCTTGTCTAAGAATAGGTACCTAGAGAGCAACATAAAATGTGCAAAGTAGAAGAAGATAGAAAAACATGAGAAGAGAGAAAGAGAGAACGGCTGCAGTTTTGTTGTCTTTTGCAGTAATGAAAGAAGAGAGTGAAGTTGAGTGGGTGTGATCCCCTGTATTTTTTAATTGTTTTTCCCTATAAAAAAAATATAAGAAATCAATAAATAGTTGGGCAAAAAAGATAAACTTTGAGAGAGTAAATTTTTATTCTCTTTTCTCTCTTGTTATTTATGGCTAGAGGAGTGAACTATCTATATATATACAACCAGTCACAGTTGGTATAACTGTAAAGCAGTTATAATTATCTTGCTCTAATTGCTATTCAGTTATAATAATATAACAGAATCCTAACAATATCACAGTTGGGCAATGTCACGTGACAGAGGCTTCTATTCTTGGCTTATCATCTCCCTCAAGTGAAAGGGTCTAGGAACTATACAAAGCTGTGTTTTGAGGGACAAGAACCTTGAACTTGTGAGATGCTTAGTCAATAAATCAACGGGCTGCTCTTCAACAGGAATAAAATGCGGTTGTATCTTTCCTCTGGTAACTTAATCACGAAAGAAGTGAAGATCACTTTTTATGTGTTTCATTCTAGCATGAAACATAGGATTCTTTGCCATACGATAACCACTGATATTATCATACCAGAGTAGAGGAATTGCAGGTATGGATACACAGAGTTTTTGCAGCAAGGCTTGCATCCAAACCATTTCAGCAATAGCTAAAGCAAGGCCACGATACTCTAATTCTACACTGCTGCGAGATACAACCTTTTGTTTGGAGGAGGACCAAGAGACTAAGTTCCCCTCTAAATAAATCAGATACCCATGGGTACTGTGCCTATCATCAAGTTGACCACCCCAGTCTGCATCAGTGAATCATTCTAGTGTCAAGTGGCTGGAAGGGCTTAACAATAACCCATCGTACATAGTTCCTTTTAGATATCGAAGAATCCTTTTGACAAATAGCTAGTGAGCAGAGGTTGGCTGTTGCATGAATTGGCAGGCCTTGTTAACAGCAAAAGCTATGGCAGGCCTGGTTACGGTAAGATATTAAAGTGCCCCTACTACACTCCGATATTGAATAACTTCTGCCATAGAATCACCATCAAACATAGATAAATTATGCCCAACAACACCAGGCATTTTTGCTAGTTTGGTATCAAATATGGTTCACTCCTATCAATCCATTTATTTCTAGCTTGATTTGCAGATGATATGGTGCCTAAATTGTCTCAATTCATATCAATCTCTCATTTGAAGATAAATGAACCTACTCAAATTTTACACAACTTTAGTTTATCAAATGTAATTCTTTTAGGTAACGTGTTAACTAACTAGATTCTTACTTTCATGTATCTTCTTTAGTATCAATTTGATCATGATCAAGTAGATGTCAGATAAAATGATATATGATCTGGATATGCTTAGTTTTAGAAAAAAATATTGTATTTTTTACGAGAGTTATTGCATTCTAAATGTTGTTGTAAAGATACCCTTCTCATTTTCCTTGCCTAGTTCTTTCAAGAAATTTTATAACCATATCATCTCCTTTGTAGCTTCAGTTATAACTATACATTTAACCTATGTAACAGAGAGCAAACAATTTTTTGTAGTCTTGAAGCTCACTGCACATTTGTATTACACACAGTGCATATGAAATATATGGTACTTTTTTTGCTGTTAAGATCATTAGCTAAATCAACATTCATATAACTTTGAAGATTTTAGTTTGACCTTTTAAAACAAAATGAAATATCTAAAGAACAATTTAGATGTCTTAAAATCCATTTGATTTCTTCTTTATACTATTTGGTTGGATAACTCTTGTATCTATTTACAGCTTTCGCTATAGGTGTAGTGTTTGCTCATGTACGAACAATAACATGCATAAGACTTTCGATTGTTAATGTATAAGGAACTTTACTTATCTAGTTCTCTTCTTCTTCTTCTTTTTAATCTTTGGTGAATGTATCTTAATTAGTCTGAAATAACTAGCCAAAAGAGTGCTTACTAGCTTTGCTCTATCCGTGTTGAATATATGGAGCACTTTTTTCATATAATCTTCATGTGCCATTAGATATATCCCTGGTGATTCTTATGCTATGAATTTATTTTACAACTCTCAAATCTTTTATTTTAAATTGTTCTAATAATTGCTTTTCAATTTATTTATTTCGTGATGCTAGATCCTACAACAAACATATCATATACATACAATAATAGAATGATGTAAGAGTTTTCAATACATTTCACATAACAATAATGATTTACCTGCAATCTTATGGATCCATTGTTGCGCATAAAATTATCAAACTTCTTAGCTTGTTTCAAGTCATACAAGGTTTCTTTTAGTTTGCAAACTACATTCTCATTTCTCTTTACTAAGAATCCTTCTGGCCCCTTTTTGTAATTATCTTCCTCCAAACCCCCGTAAAGAAAATCTTAATTGATTGATGTGTATCGAAATCCTAGATCAAATATCTAACAAAATTCATTTTTCTTTTCTATATCATATAATATGTATTCAAGAATCACAATTAAAAACAAGTGAAACTATAATAAAAAAAAACAAGTGAATCCAATCTTTTTCTCCATTGCCACAAATAATACAAGTAAAATCAGTTTGCATAAAAAGAAAGATAACATTGTTTTACATAATACAATAGATTTTTTGAAGGAAAAAAAAACTTATTCTTTTAATGATTGTCATAAGGATATTTAGGTGAATAAAAAAACATAGAAGTGAACGAAGATAAAAGAAGTTATCTTCTAATTTTTAAAGTAAATATTGATTTTTAGATGAGATGATGGTTATATTAAAGAACGGAAGATAAAAATTATCTTAAAATATCATATTTATGATATGCTACTATGTATTTATTTTAAATACCATGTTGTAAATTGTATTTTATATTATTTTCTAAACTATATGTGTATTTAATTTTAAGATAAAATCTAAAAAGAGATGAGTTTGGACAGGTACAAAAAAAGGTGAACCCTCATTTCTTACAATAAACTCAAAAGATAAATAAATGATTTATGTGGCTCAAACTCATTCATATTTATTATGATGAAAATGAGCATGAAACCATCATTCACACTCGTTGAGCCTATAAGAAATTGAGTCGATCTACCCCGAATTCACTTGTTTTAAAATAATAATGTCTTTCCCGCAACTCAACTTGACTGATTTGTTCATCATCTAAAAGCATCTAAAATTCAAACATAGAAAATAGATATGATATCAATTAAGTAAAAATAATATTTGTAAATAATAATAAAATTATATTTAAAAGCATGTTGAATATCTAATGATATTACATGTAAATGTTGTTAACTTACATATGACTCCTCTGATAAAGCAATAAATGAATAAAAAATAAAAGAATAACTCCTAAGAGTACTATGGAGATACTCTTATACTAACATATAAGATAAGAAAAACAATACAAATAATGCATGCCACGCATCATCCATTTATTTATCTTTAATATTGTTAAATAATATTTATGTAGTCTTATTTATTAAGGGTAGAATAGTACTTTCAGTTTAATCTATATATACTTTATTTGTATTTAGGTTAAGGTTAAGCATTCATAATATACAGATTATTCAGAATTTTAGCCTCCTTTTTGTTTTTTATCTTAATTATTTTAACATAGTATCAGAGCTGGTTTTATAAAACGAAGCTTAATCCCGAACACAGCTTTGCGGATCTAACTTGGTGTTTTATCTTTCGCGGATCCAAATTTTTTGGAGTGAGATTTTATCTTCTGCTTCTGCAAAATTTGGTATTTTGTCAGTTTCTGCAATTATTTTGGTATTTCATCTTCCCTTCAGCTTTTGCAATATGGTATTTGCGTTCAGTTTCCGCAAATTTGTTTTGTATTTTGGAGTAATCATATAATTCTGAAAAGATATTTGTTTAGTTTCTACAATCTCTATTCAATTTCTGTAATTTGGTATTTTGTTTTCCGCTGCTTTTGCATTCTAGTTCTTTGTGATTGTTGATTATGGCTACTGAAAAAGATGATTCGCTTCAATCTGTAAGTGTGAGGTTGGATGGGAAGAACTATTCGTATTGGAGCTATATAATGAGAAATTTTCTTAAGAGTAAGAAGATGTGGGGGTATGTTAGTGGAACTTAAATAATACCTAAGAATGTTGAGGAGGGGGATGCTTTTTTGATAGATACATGGGAAGCAAATAATGCAAAGATCATTGCTTGGATCAACAATTCTATTGAGCATTCGATAGGCACGCAGTTGGTGAAGTATGAGATAGCAAAAAAGGTTTGGGATCATCTATAAAGGTTATTCACGCAATCAAATTTTGCAAAATAGTATCAATTAGAGAATGACATACGAGCTCTTCATTAGAAGAATATGAGTATTCAAGAGTTTTATTCTGCTATGACACATCTTTGGGATCAATTGGCTCTTACAGAATCAGCAGAATTAAAGACATGTGGTGCCTATATTGGGTGTAGAGAGCAGTAACGATTAGTATAGTTTTTAACAGCACTTCGTAGTGACTTCGAAGGACTTAGAGGTTCAATTCTGCATCGTTCTCCACTGCTTTCTATTAACTCTATTGTGAGTGAGTTATTGGCTGAAGAAATACGTCTTCAATCTTATTCTGAAAAGGGAATTCTTTCTGCTTCAAATCCTTCAGTACTAGCAGTATGACACGACTAAAAGATTGATGTCTTCTTCCAAGTGCAGGAGTGTCGAAGTAATAAATAACCCGGCAAGACCGAGGTCGAACCACGAGGAGGTTAATTATATAAATTATTGATAACAAAATACAACAACAGTAATAACAACAACAATAGTAACAACAATAGCAATAGTAATATTATTAATAATAATAATAATAATAAAGAAAAAGAAG